TTGGTTACTGCACACTTTAAATTTAGTTGAAGTGTGCTTTAAACCGAGAGAAAAAAATGTTAAACTAATGCATGATTCCTCAATGTAAATAACTTCTTAAACTCATACCGACGCCGTCCTCTGGAATATTTGAAGCTGCCATGTCTTCTGATTTCATGGTTAGCAGCATGAGAAGAAGGAAGAGCTTTAATTTAATTTAAGAAGACATTCAGGAACCGTTGATGCACGTGAACCCAATTGCCGGGTATCTGGAGCATTCCCAAATTGCGGAGAGGGGAACGACCTCCAGATATGAAAGTTTTTTGCGACAAATAAACAGTCACGAACAGGTAGCGGTGTGTCCACTGGGGCGTGGCCGCGTTCGAGCTCGACAAGTTCTTTCTGTGGAAACAAAGTCACAATGCCTAATCATAGTCATATAAAAAGACAAAATCGACATTCCTCCTTGAAAAAGAAAAAGCCGCCAATGTCACCGCTGCCTTGTGGTTAAATGTCGGTTCGCCTAAAACTAAATGAGACAACTTCGATGAACATCAGAAGGAACTGGAGGACCAGTCGTTACGAAATTTGCCATGCGATCGGTCGTGCCATAGGGTGTTAAACTTTCATGCGCTATGACAACACAGATGGTTATGGTCAGCGTGACTGGTCGCAGAATACAGGTTTGTTCAGGAAGTACAGACCGTTTGGTATATTTCGCACTGGTGTGAAATTTTGGTTCTGAGAGGACAGTTGAGTGAGTTTGTTGCTATTCGCATTGTCGACGGTCAAGTGACCGCATTAGTTGTACTGCAAAGCTTTAGCGGACTGTAACAAGATGTAACAAAGGCACTATATTAGATTGGATTTCCGGCTGGATTCATTTTGATCATTGAAGGTTGCGATAATCAGTGACAAATCGCACCACCAGCAGTCCCTCGTTATTTCGAACATTCTCCCTTCAGGCCTTCACGGCTTCTGATATAATCATATGACCAGTGAGCGACCAAGGCCTAGTCCGCCTAAGAGGCTCCCAGCTGGCGATCATTGCCAGTAATCTCGTTTCAGTAAGTTTTGTTACGTACCCGGCCCACCGTAGCGTCTCCATTCTGCTCTCGTCCCTTCCGTGCGCTCTTTGACCAGCGTGTTAGGGATACGGTGGCGACGTGAGATCTGCAACAATCCACTTTCTATAGCTCTTTCGATGACAGGTTGCTGAGACTTTTCGGCCTCAGTGAAGGATCCCGTCCCCCAACTGCACACCATTGACTGCAAGGCGATAGAATTGAAAAGATGGACGCGAGTTTCTTTGTTGATGCTGCAGAAGAAGATATATGATGGAATGGAACGCGCACCAACGAACCCACATTCTACGTTGTATCTCCCCAACCTGTTCATCATCTTATCCATTGTTGATCTCATTACCGAGGTAAATGCATTCATCAGTTTCTACGACCTCCTCGCCTTAAAATATAACTTTGGCTTCGACAAGGCATCCGATCGCTGCCATCTTTGACCTTAACCGATTTCCAATCTGACATCTGAACTTTCCCTGTCTAGCTTTAAGAAAGTGTTTCATAGTTGACTGCAGTTTACCGAAAACAACAATACATCCTCAGCGAACCATATGTGGCTGAGCTGTTCGCCACTGATGCTTATCACACGAGCCAGTTTATCCTTTTGAACACCATTTCCAAAAAGGCGGTGAAAAATAATGGGATGATGCCGTCTCCACGTTTTTATGTCCTCCTCCAAGAAATTTATACCAGGTGTTGGACAGCACGATGGTTGTGAAACATTCGAAGTTCGTTTCCTTTAGCAGGTAAACGTAACGAGTCTCTATGTCCTGTTTTGTCAGTGCGGTCGACACCATGTTGTACTCCATAGTGTCGAATGTTTTCTCGTGGTCGACAAAGGTGATGCACAGATGGTGGTTGCAACTCCTTCGTTCGATTAAGATAGAAATGTTATCAATTGTGCTGTAGCTCCCTCGGAATCCTGTCTGTTTTCAAGGCTGACGCCCTTGCAAGCTTGTTCACTGTTTGTTGGTGATGCACTATTAGTTAGCAGGTCATACACTAACGAGAGCAGGCAGACCTGTTGAATGTTCTTGAGATCAATCTCAATTCTTCTTGAACAACATGATTTCCTTGAACCATTTCCAGCTTGATTGTATGTCGTTTATTTCCAGATGACTGCCGAATCTCTCCGCTATATCCATTTCAAAAGCGTCTGACGACCTACTTTGATCATTTTAATTGTCAGACCATCTCTTCCTAAGGTTCCGCGGGAAAAAATCAAGAACCGCATGAAGGCATGTGAATTGACTGGCCCTTCTAGTCCTCAGCATTAGTAGGCACGCAGCGATAAAGTTGGTTTTAACGTGTCTGTTGCGAATCGGCAAACGATGATATGGTCGCTCATGTATTCGACAGATAGCAAAGAGCATATATCATATAAATATATCCTGCTGACCTAGAGTACGCAGATGATATTGTTCTGGTGGATAGTAAGGAAAGCGTGCTCAGTCACCTGACAGCTTCGGTCAGCAACGCAGCTGTGAAAGTTTGATTCTTTCCTAGCGTTCGAGAGTCAAAAGTTGTGAGAAACTCATCCAGCACAGCTGAACGAGAAATCGGACAAGGAGGCGAAGCCCTTCAGAGAGTGAACCAGTTTAAGCATTGAAGCTCCGTCATCTCCAGCGATTACACTATCCAACCGGAGTTAAATAGGAGGATGCCGTTAATCTCAATTGCTTTTGCAAACCTGTCTAAAATTTGGGTTCAAGAAGTTGTTACTCTTCCAATGAAAGCTCGCTTGTAACTTGTCTTTGTCAAGTGACTGTAGTTTCATGGCATGGAGACAATTGTTCGAAAGAAGGAGCAAGAACGACGGTTGAGCTGCCACTGAGTATAGCAGCGTTAGCATCGATGCATAATGAGCATTAAATGCAAAGATCGCTTCACTGTTTTCCTTCTGACTATGTAACCTTAACAAATATGGAGGTTAAGAAAAGGAAGTTGACCCTGTTATTAATAGTAGTAGAGCAGGTACCTTTTACTTCAGTCCGTGAGCTTCTCATATTCCAGCCAAAACAGGAGGATGTCGACCACAAAACTAGAGTGAAAAATGGAGGAACAGAGTAGAGGTAGATCTGCTTACAGAGAAGAATATTTCCTTCTGAAATCCAGTAGTCGGTACCTTGTAGCGAAAGGGTTGATAAGCGACGGATACAGGGGACATTACAAACTGGAGACATTAAGCACAAAGTGATGATTTCTACAAACAACGTGTCAGAGGAGATTAAACGATTTTGGAAAATTTTCAGACCTAATGTAATTTTTTCAAGGAAATACTTTAGACGGTATGTCATATAACAGGCTTTAGCCATAAACCCGTAGAAATAGCAGAAATCTTGTTTATAAAATTCATACATTGAAAGTTCTGAAACGTTAAACAAGTCGAATTTCGAGATCTTCGCCTTGCAAAGAGTTCGAAGGATGCGACTTCGTTTTTCCCTTAAGATAATATTATTAGCTACATGTTGTTAGGTTATTCCGCCGTGGTTATTATTCTATATTTAAAAATAGAGGGCACCAATAAAAATGTTTTTATCTTATTTTCTTTGGGAGTTAATACGGACTGTGTTATGTCGAACAGATCGCCAGTGCAGCGTTAGCAAACTTTGATCGTTACGTAATCATGCCACGGAATGCAAAAAAAGCAGAAATTTTAAAAGAAATATCCTATTATGGTAATGTTTCATAATCGCATTTTTCCCATATATGCGCACAAGGTGCATGAATGATGCATCGTACTCTCTCTTTTTTATGCATTCTATCCAATGCTCTGAATTCCGCTTCTTTTTCCTTAATCCTCAGCCTTTTTTCAAATGAAAGAAGTTTCATTGGAACCAATCACGAAAATTATTATGTACGATTGATTTAAGCTCCTCTGTCCCAACTGGTATTTGTAGATTCATTCTGTTAAATGCATTTTTTAAAGTTATGAATTAGTGCATCGAAACAACTTATAAAACAATTTACGACATAAGGTTAGCACGCAAATCCTCACAGTACAAACTTAGCAAAAGGTAAGGTTTAACGCAATAACATATGTCTGGGTTGCTAAATGTCTTCGTTGTACTTGTGAAACTGACGACAGTTGCACATAAGATACTGAGTAGAAGCTAAAAAGATATTATAATGAGGTATACTGTTTTTATTTGCCGAGTAGTTGAAGTGTAAAGCCGGTTTATCATTTCTCTGAGATGCTAAATTTATTTGTCAAAAATTGCTTTTCACACTGCGAACGTCGACCTCTAATTGTAGAGTTGATCGATCGGAGCTCATTGGTGAAGCGATCTTTAGCCGCAGTATAGGTTCACCTGTATAGAGTCCCAGAGTTTAAGGAACTATGATGCTGAAGGACATCCAAAGAACCGATTCGGAAAGAAGCCAACTGAAGAACAAGGAAGATTTCCGAAGTTGCCGAATCAGAACAAATGCAAAGGAACAGACAAGAGAGAATCCGTGCGATCTCTTGAATTGGATATTGCCGCTACGTTACGACATGACCAGATTTTATTGATATGCCATTGCACTGAATATAGCGCTAACAATAGATTTTATTTAAATGGTACTCGCTGAAGTTCCGAATCATATACTTTTGTAATTGGTGAATACACTTTCACTAATACAGTAAATTAATAACCTGCAAGCACTATTATTTACTGTAGTCAGTTTCAAACCGTGTAAATTCCAATCAGTCGCTCTGAAATCTCACAAAGGCAACTAGTAAACTTCATGCGTTATATCTACCTGCCATACATTGTTTTATATCCATTGTTTATAGAAAATAATCGCCGCGGTAATCACTGCTGAAGACATCGATTCGCTTTGAGCGAATTATTTTTCGGATTTTCACGTTTGAAAGCAAAAATCTCCGTTTTGAACGTCTGATTCAACGCCGACAATGACCACGTTTGCAATTTTCATTTTACTTCCATTTATGCGTGATATATGTTACTGTGTTTCAGATTACCAAAGCCAAAGTCGGAAATGACCGCCGAAGAATTGATGGCTAAAGAGCAAGAAGAGCTGAACGTTGGTCCACTGAGTGTTTTAACTCAGTCGGTTAAAAACAACACCCAGGTGCCTAATCTAATTATGTATTACCTTAAATGGTCAGTTATAAATGAATGCTTATTTATTTTTTGTTTTGTGTCTACATTTTTCTTTAACTATTCCTCGTAAAATCTACTTTGCCACGCATCAAAGGATCTTTAGATGAGCTTATTTGAAATATAAAGTCTTTTAGGCAGAAAGTCTTCCGATGGTATGGTTATGAGCATGAAGAAGGACGATCGACAAAACTGTTTTAAACGGAACATTGGAACCACAGTGGCAGTGGTTTATTTTATTCTAAAAGCAGTGTTTCCAATAAATAAAGTTTTGTTGATGTCTCTTCTGAATTCCTATAGCTATAGCATTGGAACTCCTTCTTTCTAGACCTTTTGATTCAAATATGAATTTTAAAGGCAAATAATTTGGATCTGAAAAAAGACAACTATTTAAGTTACTCGTTTTCAATCAAAGTATGAGCAGTCACGTTCAAAATGCTACTTGTAACATAAGATGGTGAAAAACAGCGTTAAAGACTGCTTATTCGCGCGGCAAAAGATACTTGGTCATTCAGGTGATTGACTAAAACTGACTGTTTTGTCTCACAGGCCTTCTTCAAGGTAGCTTGGTGGTGAAATTTCGTGAGTGTGGTTGGTCGTTTGCAACAGTCGATAGTTTCGGAGCCAAAAGATAAGCTTTCGGTCTGTGCTGTTGGTTAAATACAGGGGCAGCAAGGCTCATCCAGTCCGCTTAGAGGTCGTATTCTTTTTCACGGTTGATAATTTTGCAGGATTGGATGACTAATGCCTCTTTTGTCTGACTGTATAGCTAATGTCTCTTTTGTTGATGTCGCTACCCTCAAACTCTTGGGGGAGTGTCCTTGCTTCGCCGCATACTGCGCAATCCCGAAGGTCTTCTCGCATTGTTCTTTAACTTTGCTTTGAGCGAGGATTTGTTTTCTTCTTGGATACTTCGTTAGCACCTGTCGCTCACGCTCATCCATCTTCTCTAGCTTGACTGGTGCGTCTTTGTTCTCTGCGTGACTGTATTCTCTGTATCTCCTATGTAATATTTCCCGCAGTTACATTGTAATTTGCAAATTTACGTAATATCTGAGAGTTATTTTTCTCCGAATTATTTGCTATCGCATTAAGTTTTTCAGAACTTTTATATATAACGTTAATATTATATTTAGTGTTAAGTAATCTGCGTAACTTTTCACTAAAGATTTTATGATACGATAGAATTAAATAAGGCTTATCATTACTCTTATTAATGTTAGAAACAAATATTCTATGGTTTATGATGTTTTTAACGAATTTAGCTGGATAATTATATGTATCAGTAAATCGTGTTTTACGCTGTTTTTACAGTGACCACAAACGCACGAAATTACTCTATCTTTAGAAACATAGAATGGTGTAATAGTGAACTGTTGCAGATTGTTTATTAAATAATTACTGCATTCGTCAAATCATCAGGTCATATATTATCTATTACGACCTACCTATTTTTCAGCGATTGGAAATCTTATGTACAAAGAAATACATTGCTAAGACAGACGTAAAATTTATATGCAGGTGAAGACATTATTGACGAATATGATCATTTATAATTTCTAAGACGCATACCGATTCCGTGCAGCAATGAACTGGGTCAGGAACCTGGCAGATCATTTGATTCCACTGGTGGCAGCGTGGAAATATGTTATTTATTGTTTTTTCATTTTCCCGACCACGGATTCGAAAGAACTGCCAGCTTTCTTAAGTCGGATGGATTATTTTTCCAAAGCTTTAAAATCTGATCTTACATGAATCATTTTAAGGGTGCAAAATATTGCCATAGATCCTTTAATAGTTTGATAATCAAACTTCGCCATTAAATAAATGACCTGTGAATAAATTTCACACAACTTTTAGCTACACTATTAGGGCAAGGGTTGTTTAAGAATGATGAACATTACTGCTAGGATGTGCTCCTGGTAGTAGACCGCAAGGAGGGCCAAAACAAGTGTACCGTTAAGGGTATTTGCTGATTTCCACTTTTCGACGATATTTCCTTTTTAATATCATTTCTGAGTCCTCGGCAGGGTTCATCACGATCGCTCAGTTTTAAATAGTGTGAGATGAGTCATATCCTCAGTGACCGAATCATATCCTTACAGAGTTCAAATTTGTTTCGGTCTTACCCAATATAACAGGTTAACTGTCTGCTTTGTACTTACTATGTATAGTTTCATGTTGATGTGTGGTTTGTGATGGATGAGTTTGATTTGTGATGACGGTGTTAAACGAAAGTTATTTGTGATGGAAGTTTGCACACGTAATCGAAAGACTTTTTTGGCAGGCCCACTTTTGAGATGACTAGGAGCATACCGCAAAAGGACATAATAGTTCAATCGTATAGGAGATTGGCTGTATGGCGCCTTGGAATCTGCCCCAAGGTGTTTCCAAGAGGACAGGGACTGTTGATAAAGCCTCAAGCCTCTTAATTCTACTCTTCGCATGATTCAGAAGGAATAAAGAGCTCAAAAAAAACAATGGAATGACAGTTGAAAAAGGAATTTATATAGTAAGGACTAGCAGACAAGAAAAACAAGCACAAAAAAGAATTCTTTTCTAAATTATTTGCATAATAATTTATTTTTAGCTAAAATGAAAGTCATTTTTCGCAATGGTAGACAAAACTTTGAAACACGTTGGTTATAATTTCTTTTCTTCGCTTGCATCCTTTTAAGTTGGTGTTAAAATATGTTATTCGTACAATATATGCTATCGTTCATATGTACGTTACTGACTAATGACTCTGATGACCCGTGTGATAGAATGACTTGAAGACTGGTTCGTATATCTCAAACTGTAGCGTCAAACCTACTGTTTATGATTTTCAAGCTGCCAGTCAGGCAATTCACACCCTTGAATTTAGTGATGAATCATATCTTGTATATATTTTGCATACTTTGTTGTCTGTGTTCGGTGAACTTTAACTTTTACTACCTTCAGGTTCTGATCAATTGTCGTAACAACAGGAAACTCTTGGCGCGTGTCAAAGCTTTTGATCGTCATTGCAATATGGTGCTGGAAAACGTTAAGGAAATGTGGACGGAACTTCCGAGAAGCGGTAAAGGTCAGAAAAAGGTAAGAAAGCTTTGGACCGCATCATTTCTTTTACTCTTCAGAATATACAATTAATTTGACATGTTCTTCAAAAGTAGGTTTATCGATACCGACTATTGCGTATTAATGTTTTTCCAAATATTAGACATTTTATTCTTGCGTTGATATTAATACAGAATTAAGCACACAAACGGCTTTATTTTACACTAAGCAATATGGTGCTATGTGGCAATACCAACGTGATGGCCCGTGTCTCTTGGTCCTTCTTCAGATTCATGGAGACGGTGACGTGCAGTTGCTGTGGAGATCATCTAAAGCAGATGGTTCTTTTGGAGCAGCGAGATGAATTTTCTGTCCGTACTCTCGGTTGAGTCGTTTTTTCGACGAGGATTATCCTTATTGTCTCTGTGAAGCGCCTGATCTCAACAGTAGCTGAAAAGTGCTGCTCTATTTAATTTGAAGAAGGTCAGTAAAATAAAATGCGGGCCAAAAAGTTGGTATCGGTCTGTTTTCTGATAGACCACCCTATGGCGTTGAGCATAATTAGGTAGCTTTTGTATTATTTTTCGTCAGCATCTCTTTCAGGTAAAAACCGTTAATTTACCGATTTTTGAAGCTAAATCACTTAGGAAAAAATTGTGTCTTGGACAACTTAAACCTTTCAATCGACCTTTTCGACCATATGCATCAACTGTGAAATTTAAGAAAATGCATCAAAGATGGAGTTGACAGAAAATGCTGCATCTTGATACTGAGACTAGAAATGGCGATTCAAATTACTGCTTCTACCACGGGTCATTTTCTGTTTCCCTTCTGATATATTTATTCCTAGTTTACGTAGCCTGTCGGTCTTCGAAATTTTTACTGCCATTTTCGGCTTGCCAGGGTTCCACTGTACGAGTCACTTTAAAAGCAACAGTCAGAACAAAACGAACAATAGAATTTTGTTTTTTAATTGTCTTGGTACTTTACGCGCCGACTGCCTGATGTCTACTGAACTGTGCAGTCTAGTTTCTCCAAATTCTCTGATCTTTTGTCCCTGATCAAAGCTTTGGTAACTTCATTATGTCTCTTCAAAGTGCCTTTAATTCAGTTTCATGCAGCATTACTCATATTTTGTAAACATTTTCCTTTAGTTTAGCGGAAACTTCTTCTGTGATAAGTATTCAAATCAGTTTCTCTTCGAAAATCTTCAAAAACCATGAATGTACAAGGCTGATTTGCCAGCGCAGAATAAGTTGCTAATTAAACGATAAGAGCGGCTTAGGTGTTCAATATTGGATTCACAGTTGGAACATCGCGATTTCAAAGTCCGGTTTGGAATTAAAATATCTTTCTTTCTGTAGAATAAATGATTACCAGTTCGTATGCGAGTAACAAGAGACTACGTTCCTTTTTGCTACATAGATCTAAATATTATCTTCATGCATTAGGCACTCTCTGGTGTTGCGTACCACCATTTACATATTATTTCTCTTTTTTAGTATTAAGTTTCTTAGATGTCTTTATATTGAAACAACTTGCAATCGTTGTTTGCGCCAAGTAGTTCGTCCGTCTGGTGTTCTTGACTGACGAAACTTAAACAAGTGCTCTTAGTGTTTTAAGGTTCTTTGTGAAATCTGTAATATACAGTGACGTTTATATTCGACTTCACTAGTTTTACCTTCACGAGACAGCTAATCCAAATTTGTTGCTGGTTCAGTTTTTATCTGGGTTCCGTACGTTGAAGTGCTGCAATTACATTATTTTCTGTTTTTAGGCAAAACCCGTCAACAAAGACCGCTATATATCGAAGATGTTTCTGCGTGGTGATTCAGTTATACTGGTACTGAAGAATCCACTGTCGACTGTGAAAACATAAAATGCTTGAATTTTATTTCATCTTGTAAAGTTTGTCATCGTCTGTTAAGATTTGTAGTGGACAAG